AAGACATTGAATTGATTTCTTCTTGGGTTTTCTTTAGTTTTACATTTGATTTTTATCCTGTTTTACAATCTGAAACGACGTAAATCTTGCTTTGATGTATTTTGTCACTCATGTTACTTGTACTCAGGTACTTTTTTCAAATTATTTTGATTCTTTTAATATATTTTTTAAAAAATCACTTTATTTTACATTGACTTACATAGAAAATTGACTGCGCTGTCATTAGACATGCCAACTACAGTCAATTTCACGAAATTTATAAAAAGAAGGACGGAAATTTAAAATTTGACCATTCAAGGACCATTGCCGATTTGCCTACTTCTCGTGAAAACTCAAAACAAAAAATCACGTCAGATTTTTCTTCTTTTCATCTCACTTTGATTTATTTGGGCTTAATCGATTAGATTATCTACCCAGCACACAACGGCGGCAAACGTCAGCTTTATAAATTATGAATATCAACGACGACTATAACGTCAAACAGAAACGGTAACTGCGATGGAAACTGCAAGTTTATATATAAATCGACCTTAAAAATTTTGATTTTCTACCCAGCTACCAAATCTGAACGAACAGCTTAAATTCTTTTCGCGTTTTCTTAACCTAATTTTTTGGCACCTTCAATTATTGTTATTTTTTCAAAATCATATTTTTTACATTCTAGGAGAGTCTAAACCAAGAATAACAACCACAGAGAAGCGGCAGTAACTGTCGGTCCTTTGAATTTTGGAGAGTAAAATTTCTTCACCTTGAATTTGACTTATGAGAAAAAAATAAATGGAGCGTAATAAATGCTGAGAAAAAATATTATATTGAAAATATTTTATCTTACTTATCGTGCATAAAATTTATATTATAATAATACTGGTTTTTATTACAGTAAATTCTGTCAAGTTAAAACTTTTAATTTGATTTTTCCAAAAATAAAAACATGCTAATAGACCGTTCCCGTTATTAATGATATCCATTACTCATGAGCAAATCCTACTTCCTGTTAAAATTAAAAATGTGTTGTTTTCTACGCCGAGTTTCAATTACACATCCGTAAATGTCATTTTTAACTCTTATTATTGGTAGGGGGGCCAGGGATACTTTTAACTAGATGGCAGTTGTTTAAAGTAACGATGACATGGGGCATGAAACTAGGATAGGGTTGCCATAATAGTCTAAGTACTGATCGGGACCTGATAAAAAAATTAAAAAATATTGGTTGCCTATTTAACTGTATAAATTCGATTTTCATAACATATTAATTTCAATAATTAAACATGAAATAAAACAGTAAAGGCATAGGCATATTGTTCCCTCATCTGACTGCAAAAAGTGACATATCGTGTTTTTTTGCTTGCTATTTTTTGTAGTTGGGAGAGGGTGAGGGAGAGGGGGGAGAGGGTGAGGGAGAGGGGGGAGAGGGTGAGGGAGAGGGGGGAGAGGGAGTGAACAACATGTACTTTTACTACTCCCGGTGGTAAGAGCTATCATGTAACCTGTCCTTTTCTCAGATATCGTGGCGTAGCGTATAGTGTCAGAACAATCTGTATCTGCCTTAATTGTTTTATATTTTTGACAGACTTCAAAAAAGGAGGAGATTCTCAATTCGTTCGTAACATTTTTTTTTATGTATGTTCAGCGATAATTCTTCATCACAGTATCCGATTTCAATGAATCTTTTTTTTTTGTTAGAAAGAGGGTATTTCATGGGTGGTCCCATATTAATTTGGTCAAAATCTAACAATGGGGTCCATTAGAATATCCTCAAACTCTCCATTTTTATGTATGTTTAGCGATAATCCTTTACCACCTTGTCCGATTTCTATGATTTTTTTTGTTAGTAAAGGGGTACCTCAGGGGTGGTTCCATTAAAATTTGGTTAAAAATCTAATGATGGGGTCTATGAGAAAATCATCAAACTTAATTTTTTATCTATTTTCAGTGATAATTCTTTATCACATTGTCCGATTTCCACGATTCTTTTTTTGTTAGAAAGGGGATACCTCAGAGGTAGTTCCATATACAATTGATTAGGATCTGATGAACTATGAGAAAATAAAAAATCTCAATTTTTAAGGGCATCTGCATGATTTTGAAGTCGGTTTTTTAATTAAAAAATTATTCATATTTCTTCACCTGCTTCAGCAGATCCGGTTTACACATAATGTACTTATGAAATTCCGTTCATGTCATGTTTTTTTAAAATTGAATTTGCATTGAATCATGCTTTCGACAGTTTCTACTTGAAAGCGGTTGCGTTCTTTAGTAAACCTACTCGTAACGACTAAAGCAGATCGTACATTATCGCGAAACAGAATGGATCGAAAATGAACAAAATGCAACGGAAATTTGGAAAAGCATATAACTAAGATAGAGTCCACACACTACCTTGGCATAGTAAGTAAATTTTCCGTGAATCCAACACCAATAAAATCCTTTTGCATCTATAGCTCTTCGAAACGTATCTTGTTTCAAAATATCTAAAATTTTAAAAAAATCGTTAATTGTTTGCTAGATAATTGAAAGTACTTGAAAAAATTTTTGCTCGTTTTCTAAAAGGTCTGGGAATAGATGATGAAATTCTCCATATTCTTGTCTTTTCAGGTTAATTTAAAGGACCCACTTGAACTTTTTATTGTTTACTTACTCAACTTTTTCTTATTCTAAAACTACACGCAACGCCACATATTATTTGTCTGAAGTGTCCATTGCAACAAAAATAACACACATACACTAACTTAATCAAGCTAGTCTAAACGAATAATTCTTTGCGTGGAATTCCGTGCAAATGTGCGGATATTCAAAATTTGATTCAAAATTGGTACCCCAAGTGAGCTTATCTGTTCGTCCTAGTATCATGGACAGGGGGTAGCAGCCAACACAACAGTTGTAAGGCAAGGATAAGAGAGATAAAAAATAAGTTGTTGGAAAATTACTAGATTCAAAAGTCCCGCGCTTTTTTCGCGCATGTGTAATGTGAAATTGTCGAATAACAGAAAAGCTGGATTATCAGTTTTTTAAATAGCAAATAAAACACATTTTTATAAAAATAACATATTTTTAACTAGTTAAACTGGCAAGCTACCTATTCGCTCCTTGCGAAATCATGGAAAGGGAAGCAAAAGTGATACTAACGCTAGCTGCGGATAATTCATGCATTTTAGGGCGATATTTTGTAATTTTGGCATATCAAATACACGTAAACATTTTACTTTTTTTCAAAAAAGTAAGTAAAAACAATACAATAGGCAACCGGAGTTGCTGTGTTGAAATTGTACAAATACTAGCAAAAAAAAACATAAAAAATTTTAGTAACAAAGTGGAAATTAAATCAAAGAAATAAATGGATAGGTGTACAATAAGAAGAAAAATTACCTTTATTTTTGTAATAATAACGGTAATGCTAAAAATAGTAGACATTAGAAACTTGAAAGGTTTTAAATAAACAATAAATTATCATTTTACCTTCAAGATCCCTTTATTCTTAAATGTTCATTCAGCAAGGACTAGATTTCAAAATTTCTGCTATTGAATATTATATGTGGCTGGAATGCAATTTTGTGACTTACTGATGGAAAACCAGTTTTAATCATTAATTCTATGTTTTCTTTCCAACAAAAATGAAAATATAAATAACGATCATTTTTATACATTTTATCTTCACGCTATTATTAAATGTTATTTTTTTATTTTGACCGAACAGGCTAATTCTTAAATGACAACTTATTAGACTTAGGCAACTTCTTATACATTTTCCGGTAAATACTGTTGCCTGTCTATATTTTATTATTTATTTTTATTGATTATACATAATTTTCTTTAATTTAAGAGATAAAAATATATAATAATAATAAATTAATATTTTACTTGTTTTAGAAATCCATAAACTTTTATTAAAACTAACATATATACTTTTTAATTACGAATTTTATTAAAAATTGCATTTGCCAGTATACGCAGAAATAGTCCATTAGTACCAAAACGAATTGGCGCTGCTGTCGCACACGGAGCGAATACGGCAAGCACGTTGAAATTGAAATGACAGTTGCCCGAGTTACCCCCATTCCATTTTTTTACAGGAACGGCTTTCTCGCATCTCTATGGTTGTTCTTCTAGGGTCTAAATATTAATCTGTTTTAATACCTACAGGTATTTCAAAAACACCCTGTATACATTGAAATGTGACATTTTTCCATGGAAAACCAGAGGTTAAATAAAAAGTGAATAGATTATATATACAGGATAACCCATTAGTGCGAGAAAGACCAATATCTCTTTTATTATAAGAAATATTTTGAATAAAAGTTATAGTGCTTACTTTTGCATATTTCTAAATTTCTGTGAAATATGCAGGGACAGCTTAAATGTTCATGTTTTTAAATGACTCTAAAGAGTATATATTTTCACCATATTTCATCATAAAATGTGATAGTAATAGATTTTTATTTTAATTGATAACTTAAAAATAATAGAGATAAAAGAAACATTGGATATTACATAATGTTACGCAGCACCCTGCAGTAGCCTGAGGCTATTATAGGAAACGTACGAATACAAAAAGGAGTGCAATGTTACTCATCGCCCTACAGTGTGCTGTGGTCGTCATCAGTAAAAGTAAGAGTAAAGGAAGGTAGAATAGTCCAGAAATATCTGGAAATGTCATTACTTGTCAAGAAACTTCTAGAAGACAGTTCGAGAAGGGCCAAGCAAGTTCTATAAGTCAATGATCCTGACGTCAGTTTTCAGTTTTTATGATAGACGTTACATGTTAATGTTATCAGTTATACAGTTAATGTAAAAGTTAAGTTGAAATAATTTGAGATACCAAAAACCTGCCTAACAATATATTCAGTAAATTATTATTTCTGACCAATTTCGTTCAGGCTTTCTGTTATGGTTCTCACAGAATATTTAAATCTTACTAAAAGAATTTGACGTTAAATCGAAAAAACATTGCACCTACAAGTAGTAAAAAAAAAAATAGTAATACCACAAAATATAGTACTTACCTCAAGGTTCCAGCGGCGGATGGTTCCTGAATAGCTTCCGGTCTTTGGACGCCAACAGAAGAACCGCCACTCTGTAATTTTATGCTCAGCATATTCGCCAGAGCGGTTTTAGTCTTGGCATTGACGACCAAAGGATTCTGGATGGTTCCATCTTGAACGTGAGGTAAGCTTGTGGTAGAATCCGCCAAAGGCGTTGGACCCAGCGGTCGAACAACAGCCGGTTGTTGAATAGCACCTACTAATTACAGATACAAATCAATAATTCCAACGTACTGTCAAATATAATGAATACAACTATTTGAATCGAGATTATGGACAATCGTATGAGCGAGTGAAATTGAAATCAATATTTCGCATCCCCTCTTCAAAAGTGACACAACTCAAAATGCAACAGTTTTTTATTTTATATCAGCTAACCTAATTAAAACCTTATAATCTCCATCTGTAAAAATGTCACAAGTCCGTTACTACAATAATTATTAGATAGAAGACACTAATATCGTTTTTATAGTTCACATACCAAAAGTGTCATATTTTGACTTGTGTTAATTTTGCTCTATAAAATTGTTCTGTTTTAATGTCATATTTCGAGGTGCAACACTTTGAAACAAGTGAACCGTAGTGCAATAATCATAAAAGAAAAAAAAAGACCATTATTTTGTTTTATTTACATTAAAAAGTATTATGCCGACTTTCGCAGTTCGCATTAATTTTTCTTTTTTTTTTTCAGTTTAATATTAACAATGTTGTTTATGATAAATAAAGAAAATAATTTTTTAATTACCACCACTTTTTAATAATAACTACTGTCAAATATAAATTTGTTGTAGAGTCATAATAAAAAAAATCGACAAAACTCAAAAAAATACCTTTTGCTAAAAAAGTTAATCATAAATCACGAAATCATAAAATAATATAGTATTATTTTTTTGATCTCATTTTCTCACAATTTAAATTTTTTGACTTATGTCAGCTTTGAAAAGGTGGTGCTATTTTAACAACATATTTCGAGCTTCATGCGACTATCGATTATACCAATTCTAAATCATTTGTTATATACCTTGCTGTTGGGCCAGATGATTCTTTTGCGCCTGCTCTCTCTGCAGCTGCAACTGCTGCAATCTGAACTGCCTCAGTTGGATTTGCTGCTGCTGATTCTGATCGGTGAACTGAGTGGTATTTTGGTTGATGGGACTCAAACCTGGAGCGTGTTGCATGTTCTGAGCTAGCGTGGGTTGCGTCAATGTGCCCGGCGTGATGTTTTGCTGTTGAATGTTGGGAGGAAGAACGATTCCCTGTTGTTTGGCTTGCTGTTGGAGCCACTGAACTTGTTGTTGGGTTGTTAGACCGGGAGGAACGTTGCCTCTGATTAAAATATGACTACCGCCTCCTCTTTGTTTCAAGAATTGCCTGTGTCTTTGAATTCTCGCAACAAATATCGCTTGTTGTTCTGGAGGCATTTTCTGCAGTTCTTGGTGAGTTCTGGCGTCTAGTTGAATAAACTGCCTTTGTGGTACTGCATTACCTTGTTGGGCATTCGGGGACCATTGAACTCTAGGCGCGCCCTGTTAATAATCATAACATTGCTAATCTTCATGAATAATTAGTATATTTTATCTAATATATGATTTGAATACTTAACAAAAAATCTTATTGTCTGATTTGCTTTCGACCGATCGATATGCATAAGGCGTTAAAATATTTTATATTCTAAACATTATATGCATTTTCATATTGGGTTTCGCAAGAATTAATGGAAAACTGGATAAAATAACTAACGATAACCAAATTAATTATTAAGTAAATCATTGAATTTAAATAAATTTTACAACTACTAATTGTTTTTTCATAATTATTAAGGTTTCAAAAATCATCTATGTATTTATTTATTCTGGTAAATTAAGCAAAATAAAAAAATTAAATAAATAAAAAATATACACCAAAAATTGTATGGAACGTTATTAAACATTTTTCTGAAAGAAAAAATAAAGATAAATTTGTAGTAGTATGCATGAAATAGTTTATTTGTAGAAGCAGTAGTGATCACATCCCTTCGTGGAGGCCATGTCATTTATTTCTATATTATGTGATAACTCGAATGAAAGGCAGGTAGGTATTTAATTTTGTATTGACTATAATGATTTTAATTTTTGATGATGGATGAGGAAAAATGTTCACCCATGAGTTTCATATTTGGGTTACCAGCAAATTATAATGAAAAAATGTATTATATTTTTCACTAAAAAACTAGTTCTTAAATGTGATTCAGTAATTATATAAAATATTGATTATTAGGAACAAAAATAATAATTATAAAAAAAATGTATAAGTATTATGTAAAAAATGTGTTTAATGTATCTATAGAGTTGCCACCTGTCCTTTTTTGAAAAGGACAGTCCTTTTTTCAAGCAAAATGTCCTTGCGACTTTTTGAAGCTTAAAATGTCCTTTTTTACGGCATATGTCCTGTATTACCCTGTTAACTCTTTGATATCTTTGAAAGGGACCTGGCTTGTACAAAAATACACAAGATTTTTTTTCTTAGATGCCCGACTCGGTAGAAGGACGAGGACTTTTCACATTCGTCTTTTTTTTTTAGAGGCTCGGCTCGGTAGAAGGACGAGGACGTCGATTTTTGTTTTTTGTTTTAGAAGTTCAGGATGAGGACTATTTGTATACCGGATCTCCTATCAGCATCATAGTCATTTTATCACTTTTCAAAAAGGTACAAATTTGTGAGGGTTTAAGGACATGCTGATTCCTATTTCATTTGCAATTAACCTTTTTTTTATAATATTGGTCACTTTTTTTTTATTGCAATGCCCCGTATATTGCTTCATTTTGATTATAGTCTGAAATCCTAGTCCAACGATATGTCACACTTGAAATTTTATATTTTATTATGCATTTAAAATTTCAAAGGAACTAATATTATATAAAAAACAGCCAGTTTAGCAAAATTACAAAGAACAAAACAATAATTGAGAACTATTTGTTGTTTCATCAAAAATAATACTAAGATAGTCTTTTTCAGTTTTTAAAAACATTTTTTCTAGTAATTTTTATTAATACTTATGAAAAGTCTATATAAATTATTGATTTTTTAAAATTACTCTCTACTTAATTTGGTTTGTAAAATAAGTCCATTAATATTAACAAATAAATGTTTAAAATAAATAACAAGATTATTTTGAACTTACATGGTCCATTATTTTTCATTCAATGAAATACAATTAAGAACAAAAACTAGAGAGATAAAAAATTGAGGCAAAAAAATTATCAGATTTATCAACTTTGCTAAAGAAATATAGTCCAGTAGGTAAAGTTTATCTAGTCATTTGGAAGAGTATACAAAAAACTGGTAAAAAAATTCTTTTAATTTAGCCGCATAACATAGGCGTAGGCATATCTTTTTAAATTAGGTATGTAAAATAATGTTTTAATGATTTTAAAATAAAAGACAGATTCGGTTCTCGCGTCTCAGTTCTTGCTTCATCTTATTATACACTGTGTTATAAATTCTCGTTTCGTTCACTGATTTTCTAGATTTTCTCGCTGTTATTCTCATTTCGCTTATAACATCGTTTTATATCGCTTTTTCTGGAGCATGTGAGAAAGCCAAGTTTATTTAGTTCATTACAGGTGAAGTAAACCCGTAGATTTAATCATGCCAGGTATGTATATAAAGAGGATAATTTTCTGACCATAGTAAAAATTTTTAAAATCACATAAAACTTCTTTTAATATAATCGACCAATTAAAGTTTTTATTTAGTGCACGATTATTTTTAAAAACTAATTGAATTTTTACTATAACGTCACTGGTAATTTTTAATTTTGCAAAAACTCTTCTTTTTATTTACCTACTAATTTTGTTAAACCAATTATTATTTATTATTGCTTTCAATACATACATAAAACTGATTGTCCCTCAACTGTATCAGAATTTTACCGAAACATATGTAGTACTATATAAATTCACCGATTAAACCAGAAAAGTTTAATTCGTTTTTGAAAAATATTTATACATATAACATTTTATTCAGCAAACCGACAAGTATAAATAAAACTACTTATGACAGGGAATATATTTACATGCCAAAAAATAAATAAATGGAAACTGGAACTAGTCAAACTAATTTCAAAAATAAATAAATAAAAAGAAATCTACAAAAAAAGTAGCCCTAGTCAGAGAATTCATCATCGGATGAATTATTCAGATACAAAATATCCAAACCACAACTGGCAATAGCTCCTCACCTCATGTATCTGATGAATTAAAGCTTACTGAACTGGAAGAACGACGGAGAAAATCCAACAATCTGATGGTGTTTAACTTATCTAAAAGGTAATCGAAATTTTGCAGGATTTAATTAACTCACCTGCATCAATTATAGGACTACAGCGAGTAGGAAAACAATTCTAAAGGGACAAGGGCTCTTAAAATAACTTTTAATTCTACTTATGATGTGCACATGTTATTAAAAATCGATATAAACTTAAAGGAAAGCATATCTTTCTCAATTTTGATCTGACACGTAAACAAATGGAATCAGAAAAATTTGTCAAAGAAGAACTATACAAACGACGTGAAAAAGGAGAAAATAATCTTATCATCAAATTTATAAATGGATGTCCAAAAATAATTAGTTTGAAACCAAAAAACTAACCAATCAGATTCCACCTTCTATTAAGTTATCTACTAGTTCCATTTACTATCAAAACATTAGAGGATTAAGAACAAAGCTAAGTAAACTTATTTCTGATGTAACAACTGTATCTCACGAAATCATTATTTTCACCGAAACTTGGCTGATAGCAATCAACCATGCCATAATTATGATAAACCATATTCAGCCCATTTAAATGTTGCAAATTATCAGATATATATTTCAGAAATATTTGAACATCTGAGCTGTTTAGATATGAGTAAGGGATCAGGTCCTGATGGCTTGCCACCTTTCTTATTGTTATATCCCGTCCACTGTTGTCCCTCTACTTTTTAATATACGTAACAATGACATCCAAAATTGTTTTAAGAATTCTCAGTTCCTTTGCTTTGCTCATGATTTAAAATTATTCATGCATGTAAATTCCTTACATGATTGTATTTCCCTTTAAAAAGACTTGGATAACTTGGTCCAATGGTGTAGTACTAATGGCATGGAATTAAATACAAGTAAATATCATGCAATCAATTTCAACAGAAAACAGAGTCCTATTGAATATATCTATAAAATCAATGACATAACACTGGATACTATTACAGGGGTAAAAGATTTGGGTGTGATACCAGATTCCACCCTTTATTTTCAAACTCATATAACGGCCTCAGTTAATAAAGCATTAAGAATGTTGGGTTTCCTTAGAAGAACTACTTCTGATTTTCATAATTGCTTAGATATTGTCTATTAGTTCTGTCTCTGGTAGTATATGTGTCAATAATCATTTGTATAAGCCCAATGCTATTAAAATAATTGGCAAGACTGTTATTTATGGAGATAAGTTAGAACACAGCAATTTTTAACAGGTTTTTTCAAGAAAGTATTAAATAATTTTTCAGATTTTTCTGTGCATTACTTTTTGAGATAAGTTATGAAAACAGAAATTTTTAATTTTTTTTTTTTTGAAAAAGCGTTAAAGAAAAGTAACGAAGGTATTATACATTTTTAAAATCGTGCTTCAAAGAGCTTTCACCTGATATCCCACGTGATGGCATCCGAAAAGAATTTTGGCTTCTAATTTATCCCCCCCAAACTAACCAACAAGATAAAACAATCTACTTTTTTAGTTAATGCTTATATTTGGGCCATTACTTCCTACAACTGTTTCAAATTTCAAATGTTTTTGCCGGCACACTAAAATTTAAAACAACTTTTATTAATGTTGTGCCAAGTTTACTTACCTGTTGAATGACGTTTACTGGATGCCGAACGATCTGCTGACCCGCAATCTGAGCGGGCTGCTGAGTCCAAATATGCTGACTTATTTGAGGACGTTGCGCATTCGGATTTTGTGGAGAAGCTTGATTGATCAGAATTTGCTGGCCCATATTAGGCTGTTGCTGAAACTGTGTGCGCACGACTTGCTGAATCACTGGATTCACCTGTTGGTTCATCTAAAATTGCAGAAATGTCACTTTTATCGATTAAATTCGATATCTACACTTACTTGATTGATTTGTTGCTGTTGTAAGTTAGTTTGTCCAAGAGTTTGCTGAACTTGTAACTGTTGCTGACCCAATTGTTGCTGGGTCAATGTTTGCCGATTCAGCTGCTGCTGTTGAATTTGCTGATTCAACTGTTGATTCAGTTGTCCCAATTCTTGATCCAATGCAGATTGTGCCAATGCATTTGAATTTATCTGTTGTTGACTGATTTGATTTTGGTTCAATTGCTGTGGGGTCAACTGAGTTTGCTGTTGGTTCATTTGATTTTGAGTGAGTTGTTGATTCAACTGTAGTGCTAGTTGATTTTGTTGAGTCATTTGCTGGTTGATTTGTGTCTGTTGTGCCAATTGATTAGTTTGGTTCAACTGGTTCTGCTGACTAAGTTGATTCTGTTGCTGGGTCAATTGATTAAGAGGATTCTGTTGCCCAAGTTGACTCTGATGTTGGGTCAATTGATTTAGTTGATTTTGTTGGGTTAATCTTTGCTCTAATTGATCTTGTGGATTAAGTTGCTGTACCAGTTGATTTTGCTGAGACTGAGTACCAATTTGCTGGCCGATAGGAGTTTGTGTTAACTGTTGAGTCAATTGCTGTTGATTCAGTTGCTGGCCCAAATTTTGAGTACTTAACTGCTGATTTAGAGATTGTATGTTAATATTATTAGGCTGTTGGTTCAAATTCTGATTTAAAGTTTGCTGTGTAATATTTTGTTGATTCAAATCCTGATTCTGACTAAAAGAAGTACTTACATACTGTTGCTGACTTGTAACTGTTTGATGTTGATTCAATAAAAATTGTTTCTGTTGCAAAATCTGCTGATTTTGTTGGGATAAGAGATGCTGATTGACATTTTGCTGAACAAAACCTTGCTGCTGATTAATCTGAAGCTGTTGTGCGCTTTGCTGCTGAATAATTTGATTTTGTTGATGGCCCTGTGATTGTATGACTTGATTCTGTAATAATTGACTCTGAACTTGCTGGCCCTGATTGAGAGAAATCTGCTGAAGATTTGATGTAATTTGAACTGGTTGTTGAGTTTGCTGAAGTTGTTGATTTTGGTTCAATTGCATTTGATTCTGATTTAACTGAAGCTGTTGTTGACTGCTGCTAATGGGTACTTGTTGGTTTTGGTTGAGTTGAATTTGCTGTGCTTGACTCAGTTGAATCTGCTGTTGATTTTGATTCAATTGAAGTTGTTGATTTGAATTTAATTGAATTTGCTGTTGGTTTGAATTCAATTTAATTTGCTGCTGATTCTGATTTAATTGAATCTGTTGATTTTGATTTAACTGCAATTGTTGCTGAGTTTGATTTAATTGCAGTTGTTGTGGAGTTTGATTTAATTGTAATTGCTGTTGAGTTTGATTCAATTGTAACTGCTGTTGGTTCTGATGTAACTGCTGTTGATTGGGATTTAACTGCAATTGTTGTTGGTTTTGATTCAATTGCAGTTGCTGTTGATTCTGATTTAGTTGCAACTGCTGTGCATTCTGATTTAACTGCAACTGTTGTAAATTCTGATTAAGCTGTATTTGTTGACTCTGAGTCATTTGCATTTGTTTATTTTGTTTAAGTAACTGTTGTTGTTGAAGCTGAGCAAGCTGCTGTTGGGTTATTTGTCCCAGATGTTGAGAGGTTACTATTTGTTGCTGATTTTGGACTATTTGTTGTTGTTGTTGTTGTTGTTGTTGGCCAGTGCCTAGTTGCTGTTGTTGGAGCAACTGATTTTGGTTTAATTGATTTTGCAGTAACTGTCTCTGTGCTAAAGTGCGTTGAGCTAACTGTTGCTGCAGTAACTGTTGGGGAACAGGTAATTGTGGCGTGGAACTTCTCTGAATTACATTACCTTGGTTTTGTTGAAGTTGCTGTTGTCGCTGCTGTAGTAACTGCTGGTGTAACTGACTCTGAGCAAGTGGGCCACCTCTTAACTGAATACTAGGCCTCTGTTGAGACTCCCCAATCAATCTGTTAATATTCAATGGATGTTGTTGCTGCTGCTGCTGTTGTTGGGACAATTGTTGTTGCTGGAAGCTTTGCTGTTGATTTGGAGTGTGATGTATAATGCTTTTGGGTATTTGATTGCTTAAAGAAGTTGTCGGTGATAGTGGAATTTGTGGAAAATTGCTTGTAACAGGAGATTGAGGTGTAGCTTGTTGTTGCTGAGTTGTAGATATTGGCGTAGAAGGAGGTTGCATCTTCTGAACTTGATTTTGTTGAGTTTTTTGCATAAAACTAGGTGCTACAACGTTTGGTGGTGCTATAGGGTCTGAAATTAAAAAAAAAATACAATTTTGATTTGAAATTTTGCAGCAATTTATCATCTTTAAATGAATTTTTCTTAAATCGGAATTACAGTTTCTGTAATTCTTGATAACAAAGTATGACGTTTGTCTGAAAATATAAATTTGGAGCAAAATTAGAGTAACTATAATTTTGACAATATAGAAAATTATGAATATTAAAAAAAGTGCTTTAGGGTTCCAGTGTAGAATTATTGAAATAACTTATTTTTGATAGTATTTTAACAAAAATTATATACAGAAAATTATCTTTGATTTGCTATTTTCATTTATATTATAATAAAAAGCACTATTTATATTGTTTAACTTAACTAATCATTATTTTCTGGAATCCTAATCAAATTTGTATATTTCTTGCATTGACAACTCTATTAATGATAGCTTAAAGTTTTTCTGGAAATATAGGAATTTGAAGAGCGAATCCTTTTTACCAAATTTATTGTTTCTTGATGATAAAGTTGGCAATACAAATCAAGGAATTGCTGATTATATTTCTAAAACTTACAACAGTGAAGTTGCTGATGTCACTCTAATTAATAAGAGTACTGGAAATGTAGTTCATATTCTGAATTTTTGTTTCTCAATTAGGGGGTTTAAATGGAATTCTAAGTTTAAATGATAAATTAAGCCATGGTCTCAATGACAATCCCTCTTATTTTCTAAAATGATGCACAATTTCACTAAATCATAGGGCGATTTTCATATTATATTCCAAGTCTTTAGAAATAAAATACTTTCTCATATTATGGAGGTCATGCTTTGTTGTTCCTACATTTAAAAGTGGCGATAAGTGTGATATACAGAATTACAGGCCCAGCAGTATGTTACCGATCAAACCAAAAAAATTTGAAAATCTTTTGATCAGTCCTTTGTCCGAGAAAAACAACCTCAAAGAAAATTGGGTTTTATTATTATTTGCAAAAGAAAATTTTGAAGAAATTATATTTTCATAATATTTAACCATACATTCCAGGATAACTATATATATAAAACTATTATTCAACTTCATTTTGAATATTACCTTAATTTACATGTTTGAATTAAATAAACTGAAATCTCTACAAAGCTTTAAAACTGGGCAATGAAAACTATTTTAAGATGTAGCAGGCTTACTGCAATATTCTAAATGCTGGAGACCTTGGAGTAGTTATCCGCATAACAATGGCTTATGTATTTGGTATTTGACAATGTGCTATCTCTATAAAATGGTTCATACTGTTTTACCTTCCTATTTTAATAGTTTTATAATTTTTAATTATCAAACTCACAACTAAAGGATAACTTATATGTTTAATTAAGGCATTCAACACAAACATTAACTTTTAAGGGATTTATTGCTTATAACAATTTGCCAAGTTTATAAAGGAATCTAAGATTAAATTAATTTAAATCTCATTTAATGGATTATTTATTTAAAAAAATATAGGTTATATTGTTATTAAGCTTAATTATTAAACTGGTTAATTTCAATTGTATCTTACAGTTTGTGTTGTTTATTGTATTTTCTTTCTTTTCATAGTGTCTGTTTTACTCATGTAAATTTAATTCTGTATACATTTTTTTGTATGATTTTGATTACCTATTGTGTAAATTAATTTTTTTGTATATAAGGTTGTATCCTACTTTCAAATAAAGATTATTATGCTGATGTATGTGCAATACACGGCGAAGTAAACAGCAGGATTACTTACCTAGTTGGCTTGTAATCTTGTAGATTAACAAAAAATAGGTATTATAACTATTATTAAAAAACTAGGCTGCCTACCTGAGCTAGAAGTCATCGGGACAGATACTTTAGGCTGGTTCCAAGGCATTCTTTGTTTCAATTTCTCCAAAAGGGCTTGAGTAGAGTCAGAAACAACCTTTTCTTCAGTTTTCTCTTCAATACAAGGCTGCTCTGGTTCAAAACCAGTGATGGCAGTAGTGCTTTCATACTTAATAGGTCTAGGCCAGTTAATTAACTTTGGATGAAATAAAGAACAATCTACTAAATTGTTTTCTTTTACAGATTGAACCACCCAATCAGGTGTAACAATTTTAACATAATCTGGTCCCATATCTTCAGCTCTTTCATACTTGGGTCCTTTTGTTTCAGTAGTTACTAGAAATTTGCAATCTTTGTTGAAATTCAATTGAACTGTTCCCCCATTGTAAGTTATTAAAGCCCAAAGGTAGTTGCGGTCCTCTCTAATCAAACTAAAGCAAAACACTAACTGGGAAAAGAGCTTCTCATTAGTGACATATACATAAGGTTTGGTACTGATGAGTTTTTGAAGAGCTGCGCTCATTAAAACCCACTTTGGCGTTACTATTGGTATTTCATATACATCAGTTGCATCTACAATATCATTTTCTTCTGGATTTTCGCCTACAATCAAATGTGTAACGTAATCTGAAAAATAATTCAGTCTCTCGGCGCCTCCCTTCCTTAATAGTTCTACAACCTAAAAGACATTTATTTAGAATGGTAGGATGCAGACAAAATATTTATTGTTTACCTTTTCATTTACTTCTCCAGTCACAAAAAATTTGATTTCTTTAAATAGAGCTTCATTTACATCCAACTTGGATATTTCTGAGTGAAGATCACACATTTTGTTCAAAAATTTGCAGCGAAAGTTTAATCCATCCAGTCATAAAATAAATTAATTTTGTTTACAACCCCATTGAACAATGAGGGAAAAAAGAGGCAAAGACGGAAGACGACACACGACACCTACTCTGGGCTATGAGAAATGCATGCTGAAGCTAGGTACAAAACAGACTTTGAATAACAATAAATATTGCTTTTATAATATATCTTTTGTGATTTTATCGTAATAAAAAATATAAATCAGTAGTTCTCACTAATGTTTTTGACATAAACAATACACTTTTATCGATTGTAAATTGAAATAAATAATTTTAATATTTTTACTTTCATGTTTCAATTTGCTTGATAACTTCAGTGTGGAGTGTCAATGTCATTGATCTGTGTTAATTTTTTTTTATTAAAAATTCTAATAATACATAATGAGGAATTATCCTTGTACGATTTTCGTACTCGTAAATAACTGATAAACAGATAAAATAATTTTGTAAGAAATTCAATCATAACTGTATGAAAATTGGGAATTTAAAATTGTAGGTTGGTGGTTGGTGACATTGGGGATATTATTATATCATTTTGTTGGTAATCATGTGGTGTGGTAATCAATCATACCCAACCATCGTTACCAGATTTACTGATTTTTCAATAGATCTACTGATTTCACACATCTACTGATTATACCGATTTGCCCCACACTAATTTACTCATTTTACATTGTCATTAAATTTATAAAAATGTATAATATATTTATTTTGCTTTTTATTTTTTTCCACTTATTTTGTTCTGAAAAATGACTGTACAATTATTGTTTTTACGCTTTGTTCATATTCCAACGACGAAAAACAACTATAGACTATTCAATTCAATCATAAATTAAGCCCTTATTTATTGTAATTATTCAGAGTGTGTTCTATATGTTAGGCAAACAGAGCTGTCGCATCGGCTGTTGCATTAGAAATAATGAGACACCTTTATTCTACCCAGATAGCACAGGACGTCCCATGGACGTCCTGATTTGGTCCCTTGTTGGTCCGGTTGGTCCCGGACCTAAATAGGACGTCCACTGGACTTCCGATTACAGTTAACACTAGGACGTCCTTAGAAGGACGTCCTCTGGACGTCCTATTTTGGTCCCGTTTCGACAAGGCATTTAGTTTTCGGTCCGAGTCCGGGACGTTAATGGGACGTCCAAGGGACGTCTATGGGACTTTCTATGCACTAGCATCGTTGGTCTTTGAATCGATAACTTGAAATTCAACGTTTTGATTTTGCAAGGACAGAAAACCTAACCTATCATTTATTTTCAAATGAACAACAATAGCTACAATTTTCGGCATTCAATAATTAACTTAAATAAGTGAGTTCGATTAACGAAGATAAAAGAAGGTTATATAGTGTTATTTGTTATTTTTTTGATGCTGGTGGTAAAGTGGTTATAAAGTGAAGTGAGTGTTTTGTGTTTATGTGAGAATAAGTGATGTGTATTGTCGGTAGCCGCTGGCGGAAAGAAAATACCTTAATGGCGGAAAGTTGGAACAAAACTAATTTGGACAAAATTATAATACTCAGTTTTGTCGACACAAGCTATAAGTAGGACCCAAGGTTTCATCTTGCCAGCGCTGTGTGTTAAATTTAATTCATTCCTGTTTTTTTTTTGTAAACTGAAAACGTTTAACTCTAGCTAGGTTTTTTAGGATAAAAGTTGTTAAATAAAGCTCTTTTATTGTTAACATTTTTGTTATTATTACCCTTTATGGATTATGGTCAAATATCGTCCCTCGGACGTCTGATTTACGTCCCTAGGACGTCCCGCAAAGGTCCCTATGACGTCCTTTTGGGATGTCCCAGGGACGTCCCTAAGATGGACAGAAACGGGACATTAGGACGTCCATGGGACGTCCGATTGACGTCCCGGTACCAAAATAGGACGTCCCTCGGACGTCCTTTATGTCCCTAAAGGACGTCTTTTAGACGTCCATAAGACGTCCGTGTGCTATGTGGGTAAATTGAGTATGGATGTTTGTGCGAGCTTGTTTATCTTAAGGTGCGAGCACGCATTGTATGAATGAACAGCTAGTAAAACTATGATTCTTGCTTCATACCGTTGCTACACTGTAAAGTAAATAGTGTACTTTCTGCTGTAAAACTTCTTTAATGTAATTTTGAAAGCTTTTGTGCGTTTTAGGATGGATTCCACCGTTGTGTTAAATGAAGTTTAAAATGACATTTTTACATTAACAATGTCATTTTAATCTCCGTTTAACACAATGGTGGAATCAACCCTTAAAGCCTTATTTTAAGTAATTTTTCGAATTATAATCATATAACAATAATTACTCTCTCATAATAATTTGGCAACTATAAGTGAATAAATCGAGAATGATTGAAATTCGATGGTTTTTGTAAACCAAATTATTAGTCTAGTAGTTGACAGTAGTTGTTTCATGCAATGTCTCAGTGAGGTAGGGTGAGGGTTTTCCCTGAATTTAAATATAATTGCTGCGTTTGAAAAGTACCTCGTTTTGCATTTTTTATTTGATACCATTTTACCGTTTTAATACATCCAAGCTCAGTTTGCTCCATTGATATGGCTTGCTCGTTGTTACGTGATCAAAAAATCTACTCTCTCTGCTTGAAGAGGTACACACAGAACAAGTGGAGGTACATTTAAAACGTAGCACATACATATAGCTATAGATGTACGTGAGGTAAGTGAGATATGTAAGTGTGTGTTTGTGTGTGACTGGTAGTAGATATAATAAAAGTATTGTGTAATTTTTAAAAATATATAATAGGGTATGTTTTTCATTATTTATCCGACAGATTAAAAAAAAAAATAGAAATCTGAAAGTGATGCCCTTTAGATTTTTGTGTATTTGATAAAGGTAGTTTTTGACATAAGCTAGTAGTGATCGTCTAGTTTAATAGGGACCGATTCCACTGTTGTGGTAAACGAAGTTTAAATTACTAAACGAAGATTAAAATGACATTGTTAATGTAAAAATGTAATTTTAAACTTCGTTTAGGACCGCAACAGACGTCCTTAGAATTGCATTGTCAAATAAATTTTAGTTGTATTAGTACCCAGACAGCACACCAAATCCTTTGGATATCTACTGAACATCCCAATATCCACTGAATGTCCAGTCCATGGTAGATATCTATTTTATATCCATGATATGTAATTTATAGACATGCAAATGTCCATAAATAATAGTAATTATATAGCAAATTATTAAAAAATTACGCCATTGTGGCTAATAGTACCGTTCAGATATTTAAAATTAATTTTTTTAAGGTGTATTCAATATCCCATGAACATCCACTAAATATATCAAAGTCCTAATAAGGATGACTTTCTACTTTCTCTTTAGTGGGCAAAATCAAAGGCAGAGTGTTGAAAATATTTTTTATCTCTGCTATTTTCTTTCGACGTTATTCAATAACGGACATTAGGTTGGATATCCATATTGGATATATTGAATATCCACAAAATATTTTCTGTGGATATCTCTGTGATTTTCTGGAAAATACCCATTAGATATGTTGCTGAATATCCATTAGGATATCTTCTATATCCTGGATATAGACGGACATTTGGATATCCATATTAGATCCACGGAATATTTCTGATATGCTGTGTTGGATATCCACAAAAGATATTCTGCGGATATCTCTGGGATTTGGTGTGTTGTCTGGGAGGCCGTTGAATATACATCGTCTGTTTCTATTTCTGACATTTTATATTGTTGTTTGATACGGGAAACGTTTGCTTGTGTGGAAATATTTAGCCAATGTGTTGGGACGTAGAAGTGTGTCAGATCGGAGAAGCGTCGGGACGTAGAAGCGTCAGATATAGTAGCGTCGGATAGGAGAAGCGTCGAGTACCACAAGCGTTGGTTAGGAGAAGTGTCGGGTATGAAAAATACTGAATACTGTATTAATGTCAATTTTGAATATAACTCAATCGAACTGAATTTTAAATATTACTGAATAATTAATTCTCCGGGATTGGAAATGTATACTAATTTTTATCAAAGGCTATTACTTTTAACGATTTGATGGATGGGGCCGGTATTTCGTATTAATAAAATTTTATCTTTATGGTGACTCCCTGAAAAGTATTATGGTGTATTGAGATTTCGAGTCGAATTCCCATGAGGTAAATTTTATTTTATGTACATATGTAAAAGATAGATGCTTCGCGAACAGAGTTATTGGTTTTACTTATTAGACAACGTAGATAATATTTAATCAAGAAGATTTTTTTGTTAAAACAAAAGAATTTGAATTTAATAGGAATGCAACTTTTGTTTATTAAATGGAATTAATGAATTGTGAAGCTATATGGATGAGTATTATATTTTATGTTTTAGAATAGTAGTTTGTGCAACATAAGAGTGGATATGGATAATCCATTCAAGTTGTACAGTATATTTTTTCTACAACCTACTAAATTTACAAATTTAAAAAATGATTTTAGGTTATTAAGTCAAAATAACTAATTTTAAAATAATTTATGAATTTTACAAATTTATAAAATAAACATGAACAAAAAAAGATTTAATTTAAATAGTTCCCATGAATTATTCGAACCCGGGCTTTTCGCTTCCACCGCCACTTTTAGGATTTTAATATTCGTAATTAAATTAGTTTCATATAGTTTGAATTAAATTTATTATTTTTTTTTTTTCAAAATGTGGACCAAATAAAAATAAAAAAGCTATTATATTTATCCATTCTACTCAAAAATAACTCATTTTAATGAATATTTTTTAAACAATAAGTGAAAAAATATACTGACAATTAGTTTGACAGAATTGTCAGTAAAAATAATAGTAGTTGGGTGTCCAACATATGAACTGCGATTGGTAGATTTAATTTTTTTGCAGTGTTATCACTACCTAGAACGAATATGAAATATATTCTTTCAGTTGAACGCAATAGCATACTACACATCCATGTTGGTGTAGAAAAAAACATTTAAAGTTGAATTTTTCAAATTTTATTCGGTTTCGAACTTATTTAAAAAAAAAAATCTAGTGATTTTTCCACTGATAAAATACTGAATAAATAAAAAAATCATCTGGCAACACTTTACCCAACCCAGTGACTGAGTGACAGAAGACAGAATACTACAGGAGCGACCTCTGTGACGGCTCCTGCAAGAAAGTTCTGTTTTGGATTAAAAAGCTTTTAAAAAATCGTTTAAAATCCGAGCCATCTTTTAGTTTTAAGTTTTTTTAACCCTATATTGGTGATTTCAGGATATTCCACAAATGGCTGAGGCAGATAAACTGAACATTGATAGCATTATAGCCCGCTTATTAGAAGGTAAATTAATGAAGGTCAAGTTATGTTGACAAAAATAATGGCGTCTCGGTAAACGCCTAGATAAAATGTCAAAATTAATTTTGAATTGGAATTTCAGTGCGTGGAGCAAGACCTGGCAAAAATGTACAATTAACCGAGAACGAAATTAGAGGACTCTGTTTGAAGTCGAGAGAAATATTTCTTAGTCAGCCGATTTTATTGGAACTAGAAGCTCCCCTAAAGATATGTGGTGAGTAAAAAATGTATTTAATTTGATTGTACATTATTTGTAACATTTTAAAATAAGCTATTGATTGTTATTTTATTACTAGGTGATATTCACGGTCAATATTATGATTTATTGCGTTTGTTTGAATATGGAGGTTTTCCTCCAGAATCCAACTACCTCTTCTTGGGCGATTATGTAGATCGTGGAAAGCAGTCGTTGGAAACCATCTGTCTATTACTTGCTTACAAAATCAAATATCCAGAAAACTTTTTCTTACTTAGAGGGAACCACGAATGTGCATCAATTAATCGTATTTATGGATTTTATGATGAATGCAAAAGAAGGTACAACATTAAATTGTGGAAAACTTTCACGGATTGTTTTAACTGTTTACCTGTAGCAGCAATTGTGGATGAAAAGATTTTCTGCTGCCATGGAGGTAAGTGAAATAAACATTCCACTTTTAATTTAATAATGTTGTATTCAGTACTTGTACATACCAGATTTAATTATTTTCTAATGTATAAATTTTAGTTTTCGTATTATCAAATCCTTCTTTTAGTATGGTTGATTTTACATATCCGTACCTACACTGAAAGTAGTTACAGAAATTTGTTTTTATTTGAAAAATATTTTTATGGGGTGTCATCCTCCAATAGGGGAAGGGGAGTCAAGTAATACCTCATTAAAAGAGTTGTCATTCTCTATAGAAGGCTGCTGAGTTTTTGAAAATCGAGCCACTTCTTTAGAAACTTAAGAAGCCTGGAAAGTTGAACAATAATTGATTACAATAAAAATAGTCTTTAAATTTTCATTGCTGTGAAATCTAAATGAAGAAATTATTATAAATAGGTTTACTTTTTTGTCTTGTATATTGGTAAGTGCTGAATTAAAAATAGAACAATCTTCAGAAATATAAGTTACTTACTAAATTTTAATGTGAAAGAAAATAACTGCTTTTGCAAAAAAAAAATCTGCACTTAGTTTATTGACTTTTAATTAGTATATAAATTCACCAGCACACACAAAAAAAGTTGTCAGTACTTTTGACGGGACCAGTATATCTTTATGTATTTTGACCTGCTGAATTCGAATCTGAGGTCCATTTGACCCGTACACTGTCAAATTTTCAAGAAAACTTTGAAAAACTGAAAAAAAATGAAAATTGGCAGTTTTTATTTCTTACATAAATTAGTTGTTAATAATATAGTCCTATACAGTTTAACAGTAATTTTAACTGATCATTATTTATTTAAAAATTTTCACCACTAAATTTTAAGGATTTTAATAAACATTGTCTACAATATTCATTGTTTATAAAACAAGGTAGATTCATTGTTTATAAAACAAGGTAGATTCATTGTTTACAACAATTTATGTAAACAAACTATAGAATTAGTTTTTCCAGAAATTTCATAATTACTTTTACATAACAGTGCAATTATTTTATCAATAAATATGTATAACTTTGCTAAATATATTCATATCTACAACTATTTCGCTAATATGAGTGATGGAAAGTTACTAAACTAAATGGCAAAATATTCATTTTTTATACTCATTACTTGGCTAATATATATTTTTATATTTCTCACATTTTAATCAGTCTTGTTTTGAACAAAGTTCTAATAATAAAGTATCTCTTTTAGCCAATCGTTATTTATGAACAGTCATTTTTAAAATTAGTTTATTAATATGTTTTTAAATGTTAAATCTTGAGTATTAAAGATAAAGACTTCTGATCTTATAGCTTAATCTTAACTTAGACAAAATTTAAAAATAAATTGACTTGTCACTAGAATAATCAGCAAATAGTATGTTTTAGTACTAATAAAAACCGTTTTTGGAGGTGTTTTTTTAGTTTTATTTAAAAAAATTACCACTTGGTATATTTATCAATTAATGATATTTTAGATTATCTTAATTCTCTTTTAATTGTACTACCTAATAATCATTAATAAATCGTTTTTGTATAATCTTCCAGAACACCCAATGTCTTTAACCACGTGCCATCACTGGTATATAGTGATTTTGGTCTCAGTTCATACATTTTGGAAAATTCTAGAAATAAAGTTTTTAGATTTTTTTTTTATTTTATAAATATAGTGAGAGTGGCTTTCGAAATTTGCATAATTGTCTAGTTGAAATACCAAATATTTGACAGAAACAACTTCCATTATTAATGTTATAATGTTTGTTTTTCTTACATTGCATTTTAGTCTATTTACATCCAAGTATTTATTCCCAGATTACACTAAATAAACTTGAACTGAAACTTAACTAAAATTGAACTAAGATCATCTACTTATCATAAAATAAAATTTATAGGATGGTGTTTTGAAGTATTTCTTTTCGCTTATTAAGTCAGTTCCTTTGAAAAAGAACCACACTATGTACAAATAACGTAACCTAGTACCAGTTAACAATTTTATTTCATTTTATTGCTTTTTTGTAGGTTTAAGTCCAGACCTACAGTCGATGGAGCAAATTAGAAGAATCATGAGACCCACCGATGTACCTGACCAAGGCCTGCTCTGTGATCTCTTGTGGTCTGATCCGGACAAGGATCAGATGGGCTGGGGCGAGAATGATAGAGGTGTGAGTTTTACTTTTGGTGCCGAAGTAGTCGGTAAATTCCTGCACAAACACGATTTCGATTTGATATGCAGAGCACATCAAGTAGTTGAGGATGGATATGAATTCTTTGCCAAAAGACAACTGGTCACTTTATTTAGCGCCCCCAATTATTGTGGTAAGTAGCTGATATATGATGAGACAATTTGTTGATTTTTTTTTTTGTGTAGACCAGAATAATAGACCAGACCAGAATAAAGTCTTACTTTTGAAATTATTTTAATTAGAAGTAAACATTGATGACGGTAAAAGTATTATCAGCAATTAAAAAATATTACAAAAAAGTACAAAATATTTACATTTAAGAAATAAGACAGTGTATGATCTAATCATATATTTTATTCTATAAAATGTTTACCATATATCTTTATATAAATTAGTGTTGATTTTCATTGCAAAAAGCTCATTTCTATATACAGTGTGATGCAAAATTTTAGCACCAAAACAAGACGAAATTGTTGAACTTCTTTTTAATATTTTGTGAAAAAGGGCATATTAAAAAATAGATTAATTGTACTATTTTTACTAAAAACTATTAAGCTTAAACAAAAAAAGATAGTCTATTCAATTAAGAAATGTGATGTGCATATTAGTGTTTCTTGTTGCGATAAATGTATTTCACATATTTATTTTTCAAGTATTATTATTTTGTCTAAACAAATAATATATAAATTTAAATTAAAAAATGTAAAATTGTTAGATTTACTCTTTACAAAGCTGAGGTCAATGTTAAATGTTTAACCTTCACAATACCAAAATCATGCAATCATAAACATATTTTTTTATATAAACAACATGGTTTACTAATGTAATATGAATTTTTGGAATGTCAAGTACATACAAAGGATGTGAATATGAAGAGATATTTTATTAATTTTTTTATTGAAGTAGGATAACCTAATATACAATAATAGGACAAAATACAGTATGGTTAAGAAGTTAAAAAAAAAAATAGCACATTATGTTTAAACATTTTATTACATATTTTGTTACACATTATAAAAATCAAATCAGTAATGAAATCAGCTTTAAAATCATTAACATAAATAAAACAGAAAAAAACATAAATGTTCAAAAAGTAAGTCAAAATTAAATTTTATTGGTTTTGTAAGTACATTGTAGATAATTTTGTATAATTAAATACATATAGAAATTGATCATGTATTTGAGATATAACAATATTATATAGCATTTTTTAGAGCTTTTAGAGATAAATTCAACACCACAAACTGCATCTTCTAGCTCAAACGGTTGCCAATATATTATTTAACATAAATTTTCTATCTTAAATTCTATTCCCTCCCCTTAAGTACAATTTATTTGTGATTTGTTTGCCCACGAATCTTATACAGATGCGTACTAATATGTCTCGTAGTGTAAAATGCATATCGCATCCATAGTTAGTAAGAGTAGAGATCTTTTTCTCTCTACAAATTTGAAAAGTCACATCTATTTTCAAAATTTTGAACTATCGGGATATTTATTCAGGTATTTTAGGTGATGCAATTCATCACCTTAAAATACCTTGTTGTAATTGACTGTATAAAATTAGTAATGTGGTACTTTTTTTAGTATTCTTGAAAGATGGCGGTGGTACGCTAAACGCTGACGTCACATAAATTTGACACGTCCTCAAAAAATGCAGAATGCAGTGCCATTCATGACCTTACAATTTCATAATTATACATACATTTATTCTTTTCAAAGATAATACCTTGTCATAGTTTTCGCTACCCTATATATACCATTTTGTAAAGTTCAACGAGAAAAATTCGGTGTCTCAATTCATATGTATTTTATTTATTTAAACGAGATCAACCCCACTACTAAGTAAAACACATATAAATTATTTGTATCCAAACAGGCCAACAGCCCTATTACATGGATAAAAGTATCGTAATACATAAATAATAACAATAAACAGTAGGTAATTACAACTAATATTACAACTTGGTCACAAGAGGTGACCTGGCAGTGGTAAGAACCGAAGGAATATTAAAAATACATGGTACATTAAATCGTATTAAGTATTACAAATAAGTGTAAATTAAAAAATACAAGTAAGAAGAAAAAAAGTTAAAATTATAATTAAATAAACGCTGTTGCTAGGTACACGCTAAAGTGTACACAAATCAAAAAATTATATACACGCGAAACGTCATATTGCTGCGGCGGGAAGTGTTTGTGTGAATGCGTCTTGTTTGTTTTCATTTACGCCGTGACTAGCACAGTAGTATTTTATAAACCTTAGAAGCAAATTTCACATACATGAACAAATAATAATGCCATGACAACAAGAAAAGGAAGCAATGACATCTCGTAGGGTGGTTACATCCAAAAATTTTAAAGTGCAGTAGTATACTATGAAATACGCTTTTTTACATGGTATATTCCGATTGTATCATAAGCGACTCCATCCAACTGAAATCTGTGCTCATATATTGGGGTGTATTGCAAAACCGGCTATATCTATCCTAAAATCTGTTTCAAAAGCTCTATCCAAATTATTCGTTTAACTTTCTTAAAATTCATTTAAAATTTTACTTTTTTTTTTTCGACATGTTCTCAATTTTTCCAGATGTTGCAAGTTTTTGTAACTTTATTTTATAATGTAAAATATATGTAGGTATTTGAACCTCATTTTCTGTATTATATTTATAAAACTTGAAAAAATTACAAAAAAAAATCCATTTTTATATTTGTAATGTGTCTTGATCCAAACTTCAAATCTCTATACCATCTTGATTATTGGAACAGGATTTATATATATACATACTATTTTGTAAAGTTCAACGAAATAAATTCAACGTCGTAAACCGCATCTTCCTAGATCAAACGTTTGCCGAGATATTTAATAAAATCCTGATTTTTCTGTTAAAATTGCTGAAATATCGATCTAAAAAATTATGTTATATATACAGTGATTTTGGCCTCAGTTAATAAATTTTGAAAAATTCTTCTAAAGAAATAAAGTTGTTGATATTGTTTTATAAAAATTGTTCAAATTTAAATAATTGTCTAGTTGAAATTCCAAATATTTTACATTGGTAAAAACTTCAATGTGTTCATTATTAATGTTGAAATTTCAAAAGTTGCATCAAATTTAATAATTTTATCCTTAAACGAAATTATTGGCTTGCAGGGGAGTTCGACAATGCGGGAGCCATGATGTCAGTGGACGAGACGCTTATGTGTAGTTTTCAAATTTTAAAACCAGCAGACAAAAGGAAATTCCAGTACAACATGAACGCGGGAAGACCGGTGACGCCCCCTAGGGGCGCTACAAATAAAAACAAGAAGAAGTGAATTAATATATTTATAAGGTTAGGTTTAGTTGCTACATAATGTTTGGGACATTTTAAATACTAAAATTTATAGACCTGGAATATCTCGAACGCAATGTATTTATGAATTTTTTTTTATTTTAGGTGAATCTTAATTTTTTTTTTTGTTATTATTCTCTTAGGTTAAGATAATAAAAAAATACATGATCTTCATAAAGAACTTGTTAAATGTTAGTATTTAAAATGTTGATCTTCGGCCGTTTTACTTTATATTTGATATTACTAGGACAACCAACAGTAATATCTATTTATTGAATTAGACTACAACTTAATTTAGAATATCCAATTTAAAATGGAAACGGCTTTACTATTTACAAAAAAAAAAAACGGTAGGTATATATTTATTTTTCTTTTGTGAATTTTGAAAACCAAACAGTTTTATGTTTTACAAGGTTTTTTTGACTCTGTATAAATATATTTTTATATACAATTCTGTTCATTTTATTCCTTCGATAGAAGGAGCGAATTAGTTGTCATTTCAAATAAAATTCAGAAAGTGTTTTTGTTTTCATCCTTAATTTGTAAATACACAATCATCTGATCTGTTGATATGCATACATGTCGAAAAGGAAATAAAAATTTTAACAATGATCATTTTACCACTGTTTTTTATTGTATTATTTATACAAATAAAAATTCTAAAATTTAATCTGAAGCGTGTTTCAAATTTAGGAAGGCAAAATAGAATTAATTTTTTTCTTAAAACATTTTATAAATTTGAATAAAATTAATTGAGAATCTAAAATAAAGATCACTGTTAATGAAAAACTATCAGAGCTCTGCTCTGAACTTTCTGCCATTATCACTCCTTTAGCCAAAGTAGCCAGTCCCTTGAGTTATACAAAATTAGCTTTGAACGCTTAAATGTAATTTTTTTTAATTTAAAATACATTTTACGGAAGATTAGAACTTTTATTATGTTCTGTGCTGTAATAACATAGGAATTACACCTGAGTAACTTAACATCGGTGAGTACATACTATCTCAATTACATTATAAATAAGTGCATTTAAATAAAGTTTAAAAATAATATGTAGCCCAAGTGGGGAGTGGGTTGGATGTTACTTATATTATGGTTGATCTAATTAATTTACTTAGTTCTGTTGACACCATGAAAAGCAATACTCCAAATGCCGACATTGTGGTTTAGTTTAAAATGATTTTTCTTTTATGTGTTAGGTAAGATTCATTAGGTATTGTAGCTTAAATCAATTGGAAATTATGCTGAAGACGTGTGTTAAACAGAGTGCTAAAACTAATGATGAGACTTTTCATGAAAAGTAATTTTTGGACTAGACCGGAAAACTATTGAAAAGTCACAATGAAAAGTAGTCGAACTTGGGCATAGAAGAGAGTTGGATATTTTTTCAAAAACTTGGAAACAATATTTGTATTCTAGTTTTTTAGGCAAATAATTTGTAAAATACTCCCAAACTTTGGATTTTTTGGTAATTTTTTCACGTTTTTCTTTTAAACGAAAAGTCGAAAAGACCGTTAAAACATATAAAAGTCAGTAATCATTTTTCATTACTTCGTTTTTAAACCAAATTTTGCCTTTGTAAGAAATTAGTAAGTACCTAGATCTCACCTTTGACAGCAAGTTAACATGGAACTTGCATTTAGAAAACAGAGTTAAAAGAGCATACATTGCTTATGAACAATGCCGCCGAACCGTGGGGCGCACATGGGGTTCTCTACCAGAGTCATCGCATGGACTTACACGGACGGCTTTCATAAGACCTATGCTAACATACGGTGCAGTTGTCTGGGTACCGAAAACCCAAAAATTAACAGCTATCCGTAAACTAGAACAAATTCAAAGAACAGCATGTCTCAACATAACAGGAGCCATGAAAACAACGCCGACTAGAGTCATGGAAGTCATTCTTAGTCTCAATTCCCTTGATATTTACACCAAGGTTTGTCTGAGGACAATGACACGCCGCCGCATGGTCGGAATAGAACCTGATGTAGGATCTGGTGAGGCGAGACGTCACTTTTGGTAGGTGGCGCTGGATACGCTCCCACTGCTTCAAGCGAACATGGACTCCATATCACCAAAATATATCGTTCATAAGCCATATAAAGTTATAATAGAAGTGGCAGGTACGATTCATATCTACACCGACGCACAGTGGGGCAAGATTATTAAAATGTGTCATTAATTCAAAATGATATCTTAGAGTGGACATTTCGATATGACGAGACAGGTTTAGCAGAAAAAAAATATATACATATTGTAACACGAATGTGGGTGAAAACTATTTATTTCATGAAACTACACAAATAATCAACAAAATAACGCGAAAACTAATTACGAACTAAACTTTTACAAATAGAACTACAAAAAGGATATTTATCTTTAAATATTTTATCTTGCCGTTGATCTTCCGTTCCCACTGACTGTTTCCAAAAATCCCGATGTCAACTTGACTGTTTCGTTTCTATGTTCGTTGTCACTAGAGAAAAGGTCGAAGCATGCTACTGGGAAGCTAATCCGTTACACTGCCTCCTCCTTAGATACATTCCTCCTGGAATGCTTTTACTGTGACTGTAACGACAGTTGGTACCCTTCTTGCAGAAAGAGGTCTTATAGAAGTTTTCAAAGTTGGAATCCTCTTCGCCTAGAAGTCGTTGTATCTGCGCACCTCCGTCGTGGTCCCCGGCATATGGTGCTAGCCGATCAGAATGGACTACAATCGGTTTTCCTCTGGAAGTTTTAAATATTCGATAGATTACATCATTGATCTTCTTCTTGACGACATATGGACCCTCCCAGTTCTTCTGTAATTTTGGACATAAACCTCGCTTTCTACGTGGATTGTAAAGCCACACGAGGTCACCTTCTTTGTAGCAGGACTCTTCAGCTCGGCTGTCATAATACTTCTTCATTCGGTTGCTGGCCAATTGCAGGTTAGTTCGAACCAGTTCATGGGTATCTTCCTCCGGAGGTCAGAAACATAATCTTCTCCAGCGATATCTTCACCAGGCTTACAACCAAACACCAGATCGCATGGCAGCCTCATTTCTCGACCGAAAAGAACGTTCGTCGGTGTCTGCCCTGAAGATTCATTCACAGCTGATCTGTATGCCATCAAGAAGAATGAAATGTGTTCGTCCCAGTCCTGCTGATGATCAGAGACGACTTTCGACAAATGTCAGGGTTCTGTTCATGCGTTCCACCATTCCATCGGACTGCGGATGTAGCGCCGTTGTTCTAGTCTTTCGGATCCCCAGCTTCTGGCAAACTTCTTGGAATAGCTTACTTTCAAAGTTTCTTCCTTGATCTGAATGTAGTTCCAAGGGCACTCCAAACCGGCTGATGAATTCCTTCACCAAGACATCGGCTATGGTAGCAGCTTCTTGATTAGGGACTGCATAGGCTTCTACCCACTTGGTGAAGTAATCCATTATTATAACAATGTACTTCTTACCAGCTTTGCTTTCTGAGGTCCCATCACATCTATGGCAATTCTCTCGAATGGGCTCCCCACGATGTACTGCTGCATGCTGGCCCTCTGCTTACGGTGTGGTCCGTTGCTTGCTGCACAGGTAGTACACTTTCGGCACCAATCTCTTACATTATCAGAACAGTTGACCCAGTAGAAACGTTCCCGTACCTTCTGCAACGTCTTTTTTACACCCAGGTGTCCTCCGGATGTCCCATCATGAAGATGTCGTAGTACTTCTGAAACACAATTCCTGGGAACCAGCAGCTGGCTCTTGGATTCGGTGCCTTCGGCATTTTCGATGACTCTCTTTAGCAAGCCGTTCTCAATCACCAAGGAATCCCACTGTGCCCAGTATGACTTCAAAATCGGCGATGATGACGACACTTCTTGCCAGGTTGGTCGACGATTTGCTGACTTCCATTCCATTAGTCTTTTAAGGTCAGGGTCGTTGACTTGATGCTCTTGAATTCTCTCTTGAGTCCATTCTTCGCTGACGACTTTGACTTGGTGCAGGCTGGCATCTTTCTCTTCCATGTGGCTACAATGGGAGCAATTTGGTTGGCATGGTCTTCTGGAGAGTGCGTCGGCATTACGATGTCTTGTACCGGGGCGGTGTTCGATCTGGAAGTCATATTCTTGAAGTTTTTCGAACCACCTTGCGACTTGGCCCTCAGGATTCTTAAAATTCAGTAGCCACTTCAAACTGGCATGGTCGGTTCGAATCAAGAATTTCCTTCCATACAGATACTTATAAAAATGTTCTACAGATCTCACCACTGCCAGGAACTCTCGCCTAGTAACACAAGAACTATTGGAGAGACCCAAGGACTGTTTGAAGGTTCTACCACTCCGTCTTTTATCATCCCTTGGAGAGTTGTTTCTGCTTCTGCCTTCTTCACCTGCGGAAGCCGTCGAGCAGCTTGACGGATAGGACGAGCATCCCCAGTGTCGATCTTATGTTTTACCACACTAGTTCTTCCTGGTTTGCCATCTGATGAACCAAGAATGGAATGGTAACGGTTAACTAGGTCTCTCACCTTCTTCCTTTGTTGCCGGGACAGGGATGGAGGGACTGTGGCTAGAATCTGACTGGGCTTGTCCGAGTTCCGTTCTTCCTTAGGGGTCGTCCGGTGAATAACTTCGGTTATCGGTTCGAAGGTTCCTACTTGAGTGCCTTTCCTGAGGGTAACTGGATGGTCGTTCAGGTTGATCAGACGAACTGGCACACTTGAAGCGGATTGGATCAGAGCCTTACCAACAAGAATGCCCCGTCCCAGCTCCTGGTCATTATTTCTGGGCTCCACCATAGCTGCAATCGAGTTTTCCATGGCCCCATTTAGACGAGCTACGACTATGGATTCACACCTTGCTGGTAGTTCGACATCCTCAGCTAGCATCACCTCCGCGATGACGTCTTCTTCAATGTCGGCTACTAAGGCTGGATGAGAAACCTGGGTAGAGCCAAACATAATTCTTACCTCTACCTCGCCGTGAATCTTTGCTGATTCCCCTGTAGCGGTTCGTAGTCGCCATCTCGAGGGCGACAACTTCTTTTTCTTGACGACCCTTTGGCGAATGATAGTCTTCGTTGCTCCGGTATCCACCAACATTTGAATACCTCTTACCGTCAACTGTACCATCTACGAAGATGCTGTTGGGTCGGTGTCTCACTGAAGTCAGGACGAGTAGAGGGTCTTGCAGGATGCTTGGGGTCGATGTCGCCCTCTTGGAGTCGACCCGTTTTAGTTTTCCTGCTGTTCTGGGTCATCTTGGAATGTTTTTCCGCGACGTTGGCATGCGTTTCTAACGTGTCCAAGTTCACAGCAATTCCAACATCGTACGGGTCTCCTCCTTCTTGACGCCATTGTCTTCATCAGATTCACCAGTTCTTGTAGGGTTTCTTGGCTCGGCTCTTCTTGACGCATCTCTTCTCTGGACTGGCTAGTAACGGCTCTGATTCGGCCGTGGACACGGGACGCTTCAGTTGCTGCTTCAAACTCCAATGCCGTTGATAATGCACCCACCAAGACTTTGGGACGGGCTAAGCTCATCGCTCTCTGCAACTCTTGATCTCTTAAGCCATCGATGAATGCCTGGACAGCTAGGCATTCCAAAATGCTTTCATTGGCTGATGGATAGGCAA